AAGAACAACAGACAAAGATAAAGTTGTTTTTTCCAAGGTTTTTTTATTTCAGTGTTCTCTTTGTTCTCAGTTCTGTTATGTTATAGTTCTCTTTTCAAGCAGCTCTGCTTCAACCGACATGAGAACCGTTCGAGAACGGTAATTTCTAGTCGATCCATTCATTTGTCAATTAGGATAAACGTTTTGAAAAGTAGGTAGGCAACTGAAAATTACCGCTCTAGAACGGTTCTCATGTCAGTTGGAACAGAGCTGTTATGTTCATTCATGTTCTGTTGTGTCCTACCCAGAATCTTATCGATCTCCTCTGAAATTTTAAGACAAAATTGGGATTACATCAGCACTCATTATAAGTACCAAAATTTGAAGTTTGGTAAAAAATTTGGTTTAAAAAGCTCAACTTTACACTTCATAGTTGATTTAATGCACTTTCAAACCACATTGTGTTACGAAATTGTTAATTTTCAATCAGCCTTTCACGTTACTAATACATATTAAGCAAAAAAACTATTTTTATCGAAAGAGTTTTACGTTTATTTGCTCTGCGTTCAAAAAGCATAGATAGCAGCATTATGTAGCAATAAGTACCTAGCAGTCATTTTTGAAAAAATAAGTTATTATATGTAGGTAGGTACCGTCGTCACCAAAAGTAACTGGAACAAAATTAAATCATATTAATCTGACTATTCCAAGTTAATCTAGATAAACCTAAAATTATTCATAGTTTGACAAATACCTGATATCTAAAATCATATAATAGTACAATGATGCTGCTCCAGTTACTTTTGGTGACGATGGTACATAAGTAGGTACTCACTATAGAACATAATACCTATCTGGAGCATTTGATTTCCATTTGGGACACTGTAATTAAGCAGTTTTTGATTGACGCACATAAATAACAACAGAGCAATTCTTATTGTTCAAGTTATTGTTTATGTTTTCGTTGCCAACTTTTCTTGTCTATAGAATCTCCTCAACATTGATCGTTTTATAAAAAATAAATAAAAATAGCATTTAATTCCTATTCAGGACACAACATTGAGATTGGCTTTTAACTATTTCTTCGTGATCCGGTTGACTTTGTTTTTTTTCTATTTTGTGTAATATTTTTACTCAAATATATTATATTCTAGCAAGTATACTTATACCTAGAGTAGGTATAAATCCAGAACGAATATTAACATTATACAGTTTCCCAAACAGCACAGGTAAAAATTTAAAAAATAAATCAAAATATTTAGAATAAAGAAATAAGGAAAAATCAAGATCCTGGAATAGGAAAAACTATAAAAATTCAAGAATTTGAGTTGAAAGAGAAACATTCCAGGCGCTAGGCTCTTTGAAAAAATTCTGAGGTTTTTAAATTATTGTTCAGAAGTCTTTCAAAATGCTGCTGAAAAGTGTTTTGGAACGTTCCAAATGGCTTATTGAAGTTCTAAATTGTTCTTACTTGGCTTGAAGAGTTCTGGAGCATTTTAGAAGTTTTTCAGTAGTTCCTAAATTGTTCTGACAGATTTTCAAGTATTTAAGAGCTCTATATTGAAGCTTCAAAGTATTCTAAATTGATTCAAAAGAGTTCTATATAATTCCTAATTGTTCTCAAATAAATCTAAAGTTTCCAAATTATTCTAAAGTGCTACAGAATACTTTTGGAAATTTTAAGTGTTGATTGAACTTTCCAAAAATCTTATTAAAGTTCTAAAGTGTTTTGTAACATTTTAAATGGTTTCCAGTAAACTTCTAAATTGAATGAGAAACGAACTCTGTGGAAAACTTTCTAGACATCTTGAAAACGTCACTACCCACATAGCATTGAAAGAACATTCACATGCTGAGCATATGCGCTCAGTGTTCCTTAAAGGACATTCTTTAAGGTATATGCTTAGCATGTGCTTACTATATATATTTTAGGAATGTTCTTTTCAGTAAATGTATAGCATATGATAAGTATATACCAATTGAAATATGTCTTAGCGCACATGCTGAGCATATTCGGGAAAGGAACATAAAAAGTACACTTACTTCAAGTATATTCGAAGTATATGCCAGGTACATCCGAAAAAGCATATTTAAAAAAAAACAAAAATTAGATATTATCCCATCAAAAAGTAAAAACTGAAATAAGTAATTATTTCAATAGATTTTATGAAAATGTAAGTAATAATTCTTATCATATTAATATGAATTTTAAAAGTACAGATATTCTCTCGAGTACATTCGCAATATGTGTTAAGAATATTCTAAAAGTGTATTCTCTCCAACACAACACACCTGCCGCGTCAATTCGCGCAGGTGCAAACAGCGCTTATAAAATTTATTGAATGATGAGAAATCCTCGATTTTTAATTTAATAAGAAATGCCTCGCTAGACTCAGATATATTTTAATCTCATAATAAAATATGGAACATAGGCTACGTTCCAGTTTCCAATCGCTGTCAACTGTCACGCTGCGCTCGCGCTTTTTTCTTCTCAGTTGCCAACCTAACCTATATACAGGCTCTTCATTTCACATCAAACATTTTTATTTTAATCATTGTAATTTTCTCAATTTAAGATTTCCATTCTTTCTAGTTTCTTTTTTGATTCTGGGTTATCTCGATTCTCAGTACGTGCGTGCTCGCGGCTTCGTCTGTTTTATCTTGTTCACAAAAGTCAAAAGATCTTTTGTGGCAGTTGTGGCAGTTGTGGCCTTTGTTTTTGTGTATGTTTTCAGTGATTCCTTTATTTTTTCCATTTTCTTTCACAGAAAAAACTGGAAGATAAGGTAAGTATAGGTAGTTGTTAATATTTTATTTCGATATTGTTTACCCCATATGTGAGAATGTAAATTAGGTTTATAATTATACTAATTAAAAATAATTCAGGAAAATCTTAGGGTTGAGACACTTATGGCTGCCTATTCCAGCAGTGAGAGAACCTCTTCCGCTAATAATGTTGATCGGCAGCCACAAATTACAGTCTAAATTGTGGTTTTCCCAAACATTGACACTCCTTCTCCCAGGTTTGTTTCCCATTCAAGCTCTTATTGGGCTATGCTGTGGAAGAAAGAATTTCACATTCAAGTCTGCTGAAGCTGTTGCAATTTTATTCATTCCATACATTATTTACACACTTCATATTTTTTGTAATATTGGAAGCTTATTTAAATATATGTTCATATGAGTTTGTTAACATTTTATTTTTTTAGCCTAATTTCCCACTATAATTATTTGTTCCTGAGTGTGAAAAGACAGTTTTTTCGCTAGGACAAAAGGTGTCCCAGCAAAAGAAGAAAGGTAGGTCAGCTTGATGTGATGTCTGTCCCAAAATTAAATAGAACAGCAGGTAACAGGTGGGAATGCTTTTTGCGGACACACTGTGGTATTTACGATCGTTGTAACTAATTGCACATTTGGATAGGATTCCTAGCTAACTGTACGTTTGGTCAGATCAATTGCAAATACTACAAGGTCCCCGCAAAAAGCGTTTACACTAGCTTTTTACCTGTTCTATTTAATTTTGAAACAGACACTATTGTCGCATATTTCTGGAATTCATGTCATATACTATTTATACACTATAGATGTGCCAAGGCATATGTCATGAATATAGATCACCCATGATATGTACATTCCTGAAGAATATAGTAGGTACATTTGGAGCATATTCTGTGGATATGTGTTCAGTACATGCTGAGCTTGTGACTAGGACATACTTGAGGATATTATAAGCACATACCTAACATCTGTTACGGTGGGCCTGTAACATATACTCAGGATGTACTGTGGATGTGCGCAATGCTTTTTTGGAACATATCTAGCATATACTTTTCCTTGTCTGGAATATTCTGTACATGTGCTGAGCATGTACAATTGCTATGGGGGTATGATGTCCACAAACGACATTCGACATCTTAAAGAGGTCGTATGTCGTATGTTACAAAGCATAATGTCTTTCAAACGTCTGATGCGTAAAAACGTCTTTATGACATTTTTTCAAGACATTCTAACCACGTCGTCAAGGAAATGTCTTATGACCATTTCCACCAACTATTTTAAGGAAGCCTTAACGATAAGTTTACCTAAATCCACAGAATCATAGTTGGTGGAAACGGCCATTAAAGATGTACGTACCTACCTATTTGAGTCTCTGTTAATACATATAGGTACCATTATTCACTTTTAGGCCTGGTTGTAGGTACCATCTTCCAGGCGTCTTTTTTTGGTTTTCAGACGTTCAGACGCAATGCAGACCTAAAAAGACGTCAAGACTTTATGTGCTGTCTGGGTTTCTCCTTAGGTTTCTCTCACCAAAGTTTATGACACGAAAATTGAAGATTTTATATTATTTGGGAAGGTGATACAATTTTAACATTATAAAATCACTAATAATAAATTTTTATTAAGCTGTACGAAAGTTTTTAACAATATTAAAATACAAAGCCAAAGACCAAAGCAAATAAAAATAATAATAAAAATTTCAAAAAAAAGTAATTAGCAGAGCGTGGTTTCGATCCACGGACCTCTGGGTTATGGGCCCAGCACGCTTCCACTGCGCCACTCTGCTCTTGATCTAAAGGAAAGACAAAGCCGTACAAACCAAACTAAAATGATGCAATCATAAAAAAAATAGTCAAACAACCCCAAAAATTATCGCAATTTTCTATTTTCAAAGCTTCAATTTGGTGAAATAATGCATTGAATATTAAATAAAAACATCAAATAAGCCTTATTTTACTAAAAACTTTGTTATTTCAAAATTTTAATCCAGCGCCCTCTGTGAATACTCTAAAATAAAACACATACAATTTTATAAATAGCAAAATTCAATATTCGTCCTTTGCTTTCGATATAAAAGAAAGAGACACATAAATCAAAACTTGAAAGATATAGCAAATGAGTTTTGCATTTAGATGCAAATCTTGACAATATCTGTCTTTGTTGCTCTCACCAAATCTGTATCTTTTCTGCCGTTTGATCCGCAGATAACGAACCCCAAAAATTAATCAATAGAGAAGTGAGGTTATGGTAATCCGTCTGCGGCGGCGTCGTTTCCTTTTCATTTCAAGCTGTTGTTGAGGTTTGCGTTTGGCAAATGTCAGGTAACAAAATACTGAATTTCTACCTAAATTAGTGCTCTTTACTACCTGAAATTATTATTTAAACCCTCTCCGGACCTTTTCCATTCAGTTCACATTGATTTTTGGTCTAGTAAACTTGCTAAAACCAGTTTAATTTCATAAAGTCTAAAAGCTAACCTCTCCAAGTGCTGTAGGTGGCATTTTTGGAGGCAAAGTTTTTGTTTGGCTGTAATTTTTGCTTAAATCATCATGAGTTCGCGTGTATATGTTGGCGGAATTCCTTACGAGACCAGAGAAAGAGACTTGGAAAACTTTTTCAGAGGTTTTGGCAGGATCCGAGATGTTCTCATTAAAAATGGGTAAGTTACAGTTTTTGCTTCTAGAACCATGTGCTTCGTGGCCTTGATTTGTTGATCCTCTGCTAATTTTATATTATTTTCATAATTGAGCATCTTTATTCATATAATGTGTAGGCAGGCCTATGAAATTTTGGTACATTATGATCAAAATGTGTGCGATGAAATAAATAGAAACTTATAATGATGCTATTCTTATCATATTTTGGATGAACACAATCTGTAATGCTTTGAAAAGATTAAAATAATGCTACCCAATTGTAATTAGGTATAGCTGCTTAGATAAGATTTCCATGATTGCAATAAACCTATATTGGTTAGGTATTAATTAATGCCCTTGAGATGGACAAGGACACTAATGATTTTTTTTTTAGGCAGAAATGCTCAAATTTTGAATGTATTTATTTGTGTTTGAATATTTATATTTTACTGTGTTTTGTTGTAATATTTGTCCAGTCAGTGATATTTGACCAGTCACTATGTATTGTTTTCTACAATCTGTAGGTACAACTGATAGTTTTCCTCTTATACTTATACCTATCTATCCCACAATATCCCTACTTACCTACTTTTTTGAATCAAGATTTATTTTTTTCCATGGCTTCTGATAGTTTTGACTAAGGTTTTTACTTTTCCATTTTGAATAATATGTATAATTAATAATAGATTTTTTTACATTTGACCATGATTGATAGTTTTGATGGCATAAATAGAGCCTCTAAAAAATTAATTGTTTGTACTCTTGCTCTATTTCCTTTTGCTTTTACAGAGAAATTGCTGGTCTCCTCTTATTTAGTATGAAAGTTTACTAATTGGAAGGCATTATTTGACTCGAAATTTGAGTGGTCATTCATTCACAATGGGAAATCCTGTATACACCCTGCAGGACATATCCAAAACTTTTCAGGGAAATCTTGGAAAGTTTGGGGAGCAGGGTTGGAATTGTTAGTTGAAAATTTTTATTGGTTTTTTGAGATAGTTTTTGCGTTTTTGTAGGTAGCCTTCTTGTGGGATTTTGTGTTTACTCAACTTCACAAAATTGTAGGTATATTTATGTGTTGATTTATGTATTAATCATTAGCACAACTTGTTTTTTTAGTTATGTTAATACCTACTAGTAGTTATCTTGAGAAAAGTTTCTTTTGATTTCTACTTCTGTGTCTACTAATAATTATTTGATTATTACTACTTATTTGACTATTTTTCCTGTTATTCTGTTTAATATACTTAGATAAGAAAAATGTGAATCATCTGAGATTTATTATATACTAATAACAGTTTTCTTTAAATTTATTTTCAGATTTTGTGATTTGCTTATATTTCCAGATATCTCAGATTCAGAATACTTAATGTTATGTAGGTATTTTCTCTGGTATTTTAAATAGACAAGATTTTGAAGATTATAGGCTCGATTATAGGCTATGTTCCAATATCAACTGTCAGTACTGGACGCCGTTCCGATATTATTTTCAGTAAGTACACTGGATTCAGTCAATTCAGCACTGAATAACCACAGGAGTATCCTGTTGAAATCGGAATGGCAAATGACAGTGAAATCAGCACAGTAAATCCAGTACTAGTAGCTTATATCAAAACATAGCCATAAAAATGAAATTTTCAAGAAGTTTTAGATTCTATAGGCCTATCTCGAGGGCCCATCTTCAATCCTATCTTATTTACAGCCGAGTTAACAGCTATTTTGATTTTGTCGAATTTAGAGCTAAAATGCAGCTTAGATGACAAAGATACTGTTTTTGAGCATTTTAACTATTGGATTCTATGATTGGCTCATAATTTCTCTGAGCCTCAGATCCAGGGACAAATTTGAGAAGCTTCATTGGCTCATATATATTGAAGCTTTGAATTTCTCAGATCCGGGGGATGGTTAACTCCTTAAAATATCTACACAGATTTAAAATCTTCATTGAATTTGTAGGATTTTGAGGATTTTGAAAATCTTCACATGATTTTACAGGATTTTAAAAGATTTTAGATCCATGAGATTTTAGGCGATTTTGGAGCATTTTAAGGAATTTAGAAGGGTTTTTAGAGATCCTAAAGGATCTCTAGCAATTTTAATGGATTTTTGGAAATTTTAAAGGATTTTTTTTAGGAGTATCAATGAATTTATAAGATTTGGGCAGATTTTTTTGTTCTAAAAATTTTTTTAGGTTTTTTAACATTTTAAAGATTTTCAGAAATTTCAAGTAGATCTTACGAGTTTTTCTAGGATTTTGACGCACTTGTACACAGATTTTGACCAATTAACTGCTCCGAGGCTGTAAGAAAACACCCTGTACATATACATATTTTAAATCTATTGATTTTGTAGGATTTTGATGATTTTGAAAATCTTCACAGTTCAGAAGATTTTAGATTTTAAGGTCTATAAACCTAGCAGTCCCAAGCTGGAAAAAAACTTCTGGAACTATATAATAATTAGGTGCTTTTTAGGTGCTAATTAGGGCCTCTAATCAAAAATTAGGTGCTCCTTTAGTTTCTGAGAAAATCAAAAAAAACTAAGGGACTGCTAGGTTTATAAAAGCTAGCAGTCCCCTACAGTAAAAAATATTTTTTCAAATTTTTTCTTTGTATCAGAATTACTATATAATATAGGGGACTACTAGCTTTCATAAATCTGGCAATCCTTTAGTTTTTTTTGATTTTCTCAAAAACTAGAGGAGCACCTAATTTTTAATTAGAGGCCCTAATTAGCACCTAAAAAGCACCTAATTATTATATAGATCTCGAACTGAGTTAATAATTAATCAATTCTATTTTTTCTTGGACTATTTAGGAGCACCTAAAAAGCTCCTAATTCTGATACGAAAGAAATATTTGGAAAAATATTTTTTACTATGGGGCTACTAGCTTTCATAAACTTAGCAATCCCTTAGTTTTTTTTAATTTTCTCAAAAACTAGAGGAGCACCTAATTTTTAATTAGAGGCCCTAATAAGCACCTAATTATTATATACCCAGATCTCGAAGTTTTTCCGTCATTCTGACACACCCACATGTAAACGTAAAGCCAGCAATCCCGTTATAATTAAAAAAAAAATCTGTAACTCAGTTAATAATTAATCAATTCTATTTTTTCTTCGACTATTTAGGAGCACCTAAAAAGCACCTAATTCTGATACAAAAGAAAATTTTGGATAAATATTTTTTACTATAGGGGACTACTAGCTTTCATAAACCTAGCAATCCCTTAGTTTTTTTTTTGATTTTCTCAAAAATTAGAGGAGCACCTAATTTTTAATTAGAGGCCCTAATTAGCACCTAAAAAGCACCTAATTATTATATAGATCTCGAAGTTTTTTCGTCATTCTGACACACCAACATGTAAAAGTAAAGCCAGCAGTCCCCTAATAATTAAAACAAAATCTGTAACTCAGTTAATAATTAATCAATAATTCTATTTTTTCTTGGACTATTTAGGAGCACCTAAAAAGCACCTAATTCTGATACAAAGAAAAAATTTGAAAAAATATGTTTTACTATAGGGGACTGCTAGCTTTTATAAACCTAGCAGTCCCTTAGTTTTTTTTTGATTTTCTCAGAAACTAAAGGAGCACCTAATTTTTAATTAGAGGCCCTAATTAGCACCCGAGTTAGCACCTAAAAAGCACCTAATTATTATATAGTTCCCGAAGTTTTTTTCCACCTTGGGACTGCTAGGTTTATAGACCTTAGATTTTAGGTGATTTTGGAGCATTTTAGGGGTTTTTGGAAAGATTTTAGAAATTCTGAATTGATTCTTAGAGATTTCAACAGATTTTTGGGAATTTTAAAGGAAATATTTTTTCAGAAATGTTAAAGATTTCATAAGATTTTGCGAGATTTTTTTAGTTCCAATAAAATTTTGTGAGATTTTGTTGGATTTTATATGATTTCAAGGAATTTTCTGGGATTTTGCTAATATTTTTAAAGATTTTGAAGATTTTTAGGGATTGCAAGTAGATCTTATGACATTTTCTGGGATTTTGACCAATTTGTACATGGATTTTAATGTTAACCGACCCTCGCTCAGATCCATAGCTAGCATTTTGGTGTAGTGAAGTGGTTTATTCCTTTTTACTTCTATTATTTTTCATTCCAATAGATGTCTATTTGAGACCAATAAATTATCAACATTCAAAACCCTGGAATAAGGAAATTGCTTTAATAATTTATCTTATCGTTTCTACCCTGTTAATTTCTCTATTTAAGTATTTATTTCTATTAATCCTAATTTCAGATTCTGTGATTTGCCTATATGTATTTCCAGATATCTCAGATTTAAAGCAAAGTCATGTGCTCGGTCATGTGTATTTTAGATGGACAAGATTTTGAAGATTCTAGAAATCCACTTTTCTAATTCCTCAGATCAAGAGGAAGAATGTTGTTGTAGTGGAGTAGTTTTTTCTCTTTACTACTTTGATTTTTCACTCCAAATGTTGTCTATTTTGGACTACTGAATTATAAACATTTGAAACAAATTCAAGAGCCTGGAACAGGAAAATTATTTTATTAATTTAGCTTATTATTGGTACCCTGTGTACCATTCTTTATACAGGGTGTTCCTCGGGGTGTTCATTTTAAAACTTACCACCCCGATTTCTCGGAGTTGAAAAATTTTCGAAAAAATTTCTGAAACACATCAACTAAAATTTGAGGGGGGATGAGTTTTTATGCAAAATTCACCCCCCCCCCCCTCCAACCCCCCAGCCCCTAGAGCCACCCCCGAGGAGTTTTACCTCGAGTTTTTCACCTAACAAAATTTGTACACCGATAAACAGTACTAATTGAGATATTTCCATGTATTAACAGATATTTCTATGTACCTAATAACAAGTTATTGCCAACTATTGCCATGTATCAACAAAATATTTTCACATATTGCCAGGTATTGCCATGCTATTGACAGAATAAAATCAAATATTGGTCTTGCCAGAATTCTAGGTATTGACATATCCGCAGGTATTTACATGTTATTGATGGGTATCAACCAATGACATTAACATATTATTGCCTAGATATCTACAAGTATTGACATAGGTATATTACCTATATAATTAACAAATAGGTTTTGCATAGTATCGAGCATATTATTGACACTATTGACATAGTATTTACCTGGTATTGACATATACATAATATATTAACCAGTGATTTGTACACCGATTAACAAGGTGAAAAACCCTTCGGCCACCCCCTAGAAAATCTTGAATGGAAAGGGGGGTGAAGTGATATATCATTTTGGAGGGTTTTTAATTCCATACACTCGGGTACTAACTTGCAATACTTACCTAAATTCAACTGTTTTGGAAATATTGACAGTTGAAAATCGACTTTCTTGCAACTTTGACAGGCTGTACCTAAAACCTAAACAGTTAATTTTTGAGGAAAACTGATCTTACATTCTTATCTTAGATTTTTATAAACTTTTTGACATCAACTTTAAATTTAATCCATGATCAAAAATTCCAGCTAAAAATGTAATCTCTGGTTAAATTCAAAGTTGGTGTCGAAAGATAGTTTATGAAAATCGTAAGATGAGAATGTGAGAACCGAGGTGAGAACGGTTTTCCTCGAAAACTAACCGTTAAGGTTTTAAAGCCTGTCAAAGTAGCAAAAAAGTCAATTTTCAACTGTAAATATTTTCAAAACAGTTGAACTTAGGGATTGAAATTTAGTGGGTACCAAAATGTATGGAATAAAAAACCCTCCAAAATTATGTATCACTTGACCCCCGAGGGGGAATCCACCTACCTAATTTTGTACACCAAAAATTCTGAAAGTCTGAAAATTGCTAATTTTCATGTTATTGTGTCAAAAAATTCTAAAAATTCAAAAAAATTCCAAAAATCCCTACAGATTGCGTGGGCTCTTGAGCATGCACAATAGGTGAAAATTCTAAATTGATTCTAAAAAATTCTAATTCAATTCTAAAAAATACTAAACAACTCTAAATAATTCTACAAAAATGCTAGGAAATACTAAAAAATGCTAGAAAATACTGGTAATTCTAAAAAATTGTAAGAAATTCTAAAAAATTCTATCAGCTTGTACACCAAAATTCTAAGGTGGTTTCTCCCTTGTTGACCCCCCTTCCTATTTAAGATTTTCTAGGGGGTTGCTCTGGTGGCTGGGGGGTTGGAAGGGGGGAGGTGAATTTTGCATAAAAACTCATCCCCCCTCAAATTATAGTTGGTGTGTTTCAGGAATTTTTTCGAAAATTTTTCAACTCCGAGATAATAGGGGTGGTAAGTTTTAAAATGAACACCCTGTACAATTTATTGCTCAAAATAATCCTAGATTAGTAGATTTTCAATTGATATTTGTCAATCTGTGACCACTATGACAGGAATGAGTGTTTTTATTAAAAAAAATTTCAAATTAAGGCAGTTAATAATTCGGTTAAAAATTACCTATTTCTGTATGAGGGCCAAATTATGGACCGACTGGTAATGTTATTGGCACCTTTGCTTGTAAAGGTAAAAATTGCATTCAATTTCTAGTTTTACCAGCAGGGTAAATTTGCTAGAGACGTTACCAGACAATCTATTATTTGGCTCTAAATGAGTTTTTGCTCGAGTTTTTGACACAAAAGGACCATCTGGTTTTTTCCAATATTGATAGTAGGTTTTTTATGTCAGAAACCCACTGTGTTTTCAAAATGGGTTTTTGTGTATGCCAACCCTGGGGGAGATTCAATAGAAACCTGAAGGAAATCAGGGGAGATTTTGAGGAGATCTATGGGAGAAGTGAGAAATATCTGGTGAAATCTGAAAGAAATCTTACTGAGTGAATCCGATTAAGAATATTCAAGAGAATATCATGTTACCAGGCTTTCCTCTGAAATAAAAATATTATACTTCATATTGTAATGTAGCTTTGATACTGCCAGGAAAGTAATAGAACACATGTTGTGTAAAGGAGTAGATCTAGGAGTTATGTTCTGGCCGAGTTTCATTTATTAATATACAAGGTGAAATCGAGGGTGAAATATTATAGTAAATCCAGATGTCTAATAAGTAAGTTATTATTATTATTTTCAAAAAAATGACATGAGAAACCTAGGAAGGGATTTTCGCATTTCTCCCTATAACTATTGAAGATAACCCGAGAGATAAACATATCAAACCGTAAATCGTTGAATCAGTTTAAAGGGGACTAACAAAAGGGTGCACAATATACAGGTTGTTCCATTTAAAAAAATATAACTTCACACTGCTGTACTTTTTTGACGCACCCTATGCCTAAAACTGTCTTAATTAAAAACTTTTGACGATTTCTCAAAACTTTTGTGTTTGACACTTTTGTCAAAAACGTCAAATGACAAAGTTAGCAGGGGGTGTGGCATTTATAATAGATCACCCTGTACTTTTGCCGGTATTCTATGAAATCCATGGAAAATGGGAGAGATCTAGCGAAATCTTGAGAAATTTAAGGAAATTGGTAATCTGGGATATGCAAAGGAAATCTGTAGATATCTTTTGCATGAAGTTATCTATTGTACACTTGAATATGTTGTGACTTATATGGCTGTTTATTTATGCACCAAGTGTGTAAAGTGAATTTTTTTCCACTAAAGTGAATTTTGACATCACATGAGTGAGATAAGAGGCTTTATACATATGTTACATACAAAATTTTTCCACTGCTGACAATACAAGTGACAATATTATAAACACAGATATAAAGTCATAAATTTGAAAAAATATATCACAACTTTACACCGTAGTGTCAAATCAAATCTTTATTCACCCATATAGCATTTACAATAAATATCAGAAAACATATTCTTATTAAAATTAGGAGTGACATTGAGAGCAGATGGCGAAATGGCAATAAAACTATAGCTAAAAATAGCAGTTGCATTCATAAAAAGACGCTTCAATAATTTTAACAGCTTTACATTTGCCAAATAGATTTTTTTTTAAATTTCCATTAAAAACTCTTAGAACAAGTACTTATTAAAGAAATCGATGTCACACTTCTGTAACAACTCATTTACATACTTGCAAATTCTACACACAGGTGAGTTTATCCTATAGTGTGTTCATAGAAGTCAATTTTGAATAGTTACTTATTTTTAGAGTTTCTTGCAAACCAACAATTTCAAGAAGCTCTGGAGCATCAATGATATTGTTAACAAGTTTATAAAGAATGCAAATATCTGTGTAATTTCTACTATTTTCATTTTCCAAAGATGTTAGATTTAATTAAAAAAAAGGAAGTAACCCCAGGCAGTTGATTTCATCATAAGGGATTCCAAGTTTAAGATAGAGTCTCTCTAAGCTGTCTTTGTTTTGTAATAGGGTTGCCAAATTCGTCTAGCATATTCCAGCATGGATCTAACAAGGGCACAAAACAAATTTTTCAGGATAAAAATATTATCAATTTCACTCAGAGTCCTAAAAACAAATCCAGGGCTGTGCTCCTGATAGTTCTCTCAATGTGAAAACTGAGGTGAAAACTAAAAGAAAGCTTGGAATCTAGCCAGAACCCAAGATGTTTCACTAGTTGCACTCTTGATATCTCCATTGAGTTAATAGTATATTTGAACATAATTGGATTTTTACGTTTAGAAAATGGGATGATTTTACATTTATCTATGTTCAAGTCAATTTACCACTTATGACGTATTAAACATGAAGTTCGTCTTTTTATTTAGAGAGTTATGTTGCTATTAAGGTATTTACTCAAAAACGAAGTTCTGATCTTTTGACTAGTTTTCCTCATTTGATTTGTGACAAATACTTCAATTGGTTAGAATTTTTGTGCTTCATATTTCTTATATTTCCATTATTTCAAGTTTATTCACAAATTTTGAGTCTATATTGAGTATACATCTTCCTATATGAGTTTTTATGTGTTAATTTTTATACAAGTTATCAATAGCTTCTTCTCAATTGGATTGGTATTGTAATGTTTTATCGTACTGGATGTAATGTGTCATTTTTGTTTTAGATATTCAATTTACAATCTTTGTTCTGGTGTTCTAACTTGTCTACTTTCAATTCTAGGAGGTACGGTTTTGTCGAATTTGACGACTATAGAGATGCAGAAGACGCGGTCTACGAATTGCACGGCAAAAAACTATTGGGCATGCGAGTGAGCGTTGAAATGGCTAGGGGAAGACCCCGTGGACGTGACCAAGAATGGTTCTCTAGCAGAGACCATCGTCCCAGGCAGGGCCCCCCTGTGCGCACCAATTACAGAGTCTTTGTTGAGAATCTGTCCTCCGGTGTCTCTTGGCAAGACCTGAAGGACTATCTAAGACCCGCTGGCGAAGTAACTTTTGCTGATGCCCACAAGAAGTACAAAAACGAAGGAATCGTCGAGTTTGCCAACTATGATGATATGAAAAATGCTATTCGTAAATTTGATGATACTGTGTTGAATGGAAGACGTATACGATTGGTTGAAGACAAGAGCTCTAAGAAGGGTTCGCGTTCTAGGAGCCGTTCTAGGAGCAGGAGCTCAAGCGCTGACAGCAGGAAGAAGGAACGATCCAGGTCTAGATCTCGCTCTGGAAAGAAGGAGAAGAAAGCTTCCTCTCGCTCCAGGTCTCGTGATCGTTCTCTGTCACGTCACTCTGCAGAGTCTCGTCACGGCTCTAAACATCGCAGCCGTTCTGTATCCAAAAGGAAGTCAATCAAGAGGAGCAGGTCCAGGAGTGGCAGCGCTTCACCTGACAAAAGATTCAAGGTAAAAACTTGAATTAATTAGAATTTTGAAATCTATCTTGACTGATTTGTTATTTGTTTTCAGGACAAATCTGTTTCTCGTTCCCGCTCCAGATCCCGTTCTAAGCGCCAATCCAGGTCCCCCAAGCGCCAGTCCAGATCGCCGAAACGCGATTCCAGATCGCCGAAACGAGAATCCAGATCTCGTTCCAAGTCCAGGTCGCGTTCCAAGAGCGTCGACCACAAAAAGGGATCCAGGAGCCGTAGCCGATCCCGCTCTTAAAGTAACCACTGTTTCCCAAGAAAGTAGTTTGTATCATTTTAGAAATAGTTATTGTGCTTTATTTTTTCTTCAAAGGGCATGTGGTTTCTGACAATTGTAACTACATATTTCATGCTAAATTACATTTCAATAGTACAAAATTTTTGATTCCTGGGTTTTGATTGCATTTTCGTATTCATTTCAAAACCCACTTTGTCTATTCCATATTAAATTTAATACCCTTGGTACTAATTTCTTTAGATGATAGTTATTTGACTTAATTTTTTTATGGCGATTCTAAGCATTTTAGAAGGGAAATTGTTTTACTTAAATTAGCAAAAATCTTTTCATTTAGTCCATAACTGATACTCAAAGCTTTTCATAAAGATTATCTATGCTTTCGCCAAAGAATTATATTTTTATTATTGGTACCTTTGTCTTTATAAATTATATTTTTCTAAATTCTTCTTCCATCTTGTTGGATCTTAAGTTTCGAATAATATGTTTAAGCTTAGTTATCCAGATTTGAGTCTTGGGGACTAAGTAAACATATTTTCTTATAAATGAACTTAAATTCGAAATTTAACATCCACTTTGAATTTACATACATGTTTTGTCAGTTGCAGAATTACATATTATATCCATCAATTTTGTAATTCAAATTAATTACGCCCTTATAGATACTTAGTAGTTGTAAAAGTTACTTTATCAATTTAACATAATCTATATTTTTTGATGGTAGTCATCAGGGGCACGCAATGGTCAACCAACCATGTAAGCAAAAAATGGGAGCCCCACTCACTTTAATGTCCTGACCTGTATAGTGGAGTCAGCCCACCATTTTTAGCGACAGCTAGAAATAATAATGTAAGTTTAGTTCTTTAGGGATGTTCAAAATGATTTGATTATTATTGTAATAAAGGCTCAAGTCATCTTGTAAGTTTTGGTGTTTTATTTGGATTTTATCAAATTTTTTTAATAATCTTGATGTTTCTCTTTTATAGGCGACAGGCCAAAGCGTTTATTCTAAGCCAGTCGTGTGTCAAACCACAGATAGATACCTACAGCCATACAGTTTTGCCATAAAGATTCTTGTTACCAAAAAAAAAAAGAGACTTGTTGCCAAAAAAAACAGTAGACAGATTTCGATACGGCACAAGTTTTTAAGAACCAGTTAGACCTTACAGCCTGTCAGGGGGAAAACGCAACCACAACTGTATCAGACTTATCGCTAAAGCCATACAAGCCTATCCATACAGCCAGTGTTGTTCAAACTTGAAATACAGCTACGCATTGCAAGCCACACAGTCTGCCTGGTCTGTATGAGTACCTAAGGTTTTTTTGTTTTTGGGAAGAGGGTTATTTTTTTTTTTTAATAATGCTAAGCCAACAAGGGGAATATTAAATTAAGAATAATTGTTTTTTTTTTTTTTTATTTATATAAGCTGCAACTTTTTATAGCAGTAAAAACTAGATTCTTCCTTTTTTTTTTTGAATTGAAGCCTTAAAATCCAATTCTTATTTCAAAAGCTTAAATTTTCTAGTAATTTTTGACAATATGCAATTAGGCAACTTTGCCTAAAGATAAATAAACAAAAAATATTCAAAAAGTAATCATAATAATCAAAAAGTAGCATTTTGTAGATGGTAATGGTAACTTTTACTTCTGGATTTCAATAATTTCAACAGTGAAATGGATTAATCATCGAACTTCCTGTAAATTCCATCATTTTTCTAAAAGACCTTGGAGTTAGTCCAATCTTGGCAGAAATTGTTTCTGTTGCAGCAAATGATCGATGGGTGCATTTTATACAATTTTGTAAAGTAAATATCCAACTTCTTTGGAAATCCTGCTAAGACACTCTGACAGAGATCCTTCATAAAAAAAACTCATGAGCTGGCAACAATGGTCTTATTTTTGTTCAGGCGTGAACTACTTTTTCCAGCATTCTTGTTAAAACTGGGAATTCATCTTAAATTGTCTTGATGATGATTTATTTTCAACATTGTTTTCTGGGCCATATCCAATAGTCTAAGAGCCAGCGCCGAAAAAATTCTCTGAATTTACTAAAGCTAGTTTTTGGACAGTTGATTACAGTATTTACGTACATAAACATACCGCGGTCAGTCAAGCGAAACTTGGGACAAGGACCCAGGGTGTCTTGTTAAAGGTGTCGAGATAACTTGGGTAATGCAACGAATTTACTAGAGCTGAAAATCGTTATACTTAGGTATTATATATAACATAAATAACAGTAGTGTTAGTCAGTCAGTTGAATAGCGGGACCGTGCTGGTCAGTCAGCCCCAATAAATGTAAAAATCTGCAAAAAATATTAATATTACTGAACAAATCTATTAATTTAAACTTCAACCTACAATTTTGAATTGTCATTGTGACGTTGTCACTCTAAGAAAAAATGACCTATTATTTTTTTAAAAATAAATTGGGGCTGAACTACCTCAATGGGGCTGAATGACCGACCCAGTTCCGCTATTCAACTGATTGACAAACATCACTGTTATTTATGTGTTAGTTATAATATGTATAGCCTTAGTAAATTCGTTGCATTACCTAGCTATCTTGACAACTTTAACCAGACACCCTAGGTCCTTGTCCCAAGTTCCGCTTGACTGACCGAGGTTTGTATATGCACGTAAATACTGTAATCAACTGACCAAAAACTGGCGTTAGTAAATTCAGACAATTTTTTCGGCGCTGGCTCTCTGGCTACAACTAATTCCTAACTAGAATGCTTTTGTCAGTATACATACTGACTACATATCCATGTCACTAGAAAAAGACAGTTTTGGCAGCAGAGCTACACCAATGTTAACGAGTTTCTCCTCAACAACCTCCCAGATGACCCTGATATCGACCAATGCTACCAATTCATAAATAACAGTATTAAACAATGCATTCCTCTCATAGCCGTGGAAAACAGTCCACACAAACCCTGGTTGACTTGCTACATTTTTAAAGCCCTCAAGAAGAAACGCTTTTTGTGGGGCTGCTACACTAGAAAGAGAAGCACGATTTCATTTTTCATGTATCCAGATCACTACACTCGAGAATCAACCAAGTCTCACTGAAGAACCAGATGGGAAACTTGGTGCATCTCCCTAGCTTGGTCTCAGAAGTGTTCAAGTCTTCAATATAGAGTCCGCCGAAACTCATCGATAATTCACGTACAGTAAACTCTATAACCACCATCGACTTCACCCCCCCAAAAGGTCCAGAACGCTATTCATACCCTTAAAAATAACTCTGCCGCTGGCGCCGTATTTCACCAGTGTACCTGAAAAATTGCGCTGATGTCTTGTGTGGGACGCTATCATAGCACTGACTAAAGAGCCCCACACACTACGTTCTGTCTCGTCGTGATTAACAACGTCGTGTTTCATCGTCAGCCTGTTTTCACCACACACTACGCGATTTTTTGGCAGTTGGACCCACGTACAACGGTTTTGGAACGAAATGTTGAACCGTCGTGCCAAAAATCAAGCTCGGTTGAATTTTAAACCGTCGATGACACACGACGATTTTCTACCACCTTCGGTTTCAGATCGTCATGTATCATCGCGGCGATGAAAACCGACGAGAAAGAACGTAGTGTGTGGGGCCCTTAAGGCCCTGGGCACAGGTTATATTCCCATCCAGTTGTCACTCCCATCTATGAAAAGGGTGACCGCTGCCAATCTGGAAACTACAGACTCATCAGCCCAACATCTACACTTCCAAATACATGGAGAAAATAATTGTCAGGGAGTTAACTGACTTTTTCCTAGAGAATGGCATAATACCAGTATGTCAACACGGGTTCTTACCAAAAAGATCCATAGATACAAACCTTCTTTCATGTTTCAACGACTGGACTACTTTGCAGGACAGTGGTCAACCAGTGGATGTCGTATACCTGAACTTTGTAAGGTCTTTGACAGAGTCCCTTTTCACAGACGGCTTTACAAGCTTGATCACTATGACGTTAGGAGCCCACTTCAGTCCTGGATTGGTGGCTCCCTCACCAAGTGCAGGTTTCAGGTTAGGATAGATGACGCCATGTTAGGCGAAAGAACTGTAAGGAGTGAAGTTCCTCAGGGCTCGGTTCTTGGACTGTTGCTTTTAGTTTATATCAGCGATATGGTGACCGACATCAATGACCGAATCTGCTTCTTCGCAGATGACACCAAATTGTTTTGTAATCCACTATGCAATGCCATTTCACTGCAGAGCAATCTGAGGACTGTGGAAAATGTGAATGTCGAAAAGTGCACACTACTGCATATCGGTCCAAACTAACCCAAATACCTCAATACATCCTCCATGGAAAAACCCTCAAAGAGGTCGATCACCAAAAAGACCTTGGAGTAGTTGTGACAAAAGATCTAAAATAGGAAAGCCACATCGCGAGAAGCGTAAAGAGAGCAAACACCTTCATATATCTTGTCCAAAAAGCATATAAGGATCACTCCTGTTCAATAATTATGAAGATATATAAAGCATATAAGCATATATTATGACCGATGCTTGAGTTTGTTGTGACTTCGTGCAACCCATACTATGTTAAGGATATTGAACTGCTGGACGCGTACAGCGCCCTGTAACACGAATATCAACCGAAACGAAGGAACTTCCTTATGAAATATGATGCTCCAGATTAAAGAAATCTACTCTAAGAGAACGCCGGCAAAGAGGCGACTTAATACAGACCCACAATATCATGTCTGGATACTATAGCGTCCAACTGGATATCTTCGTGACCAGAGGCTAAACGATGCTTAGAGGACACTCCAAAAAAACTGTCGAAAGAAAGATGCGGAAAGCTTACTAGACGGAACTTCATTAGGGAGGACCAACAGAACCCGTGTATATAAGTCATCTTATGTACATGGATGACTTGAAGATATATGCTGGAAATAAGGAAGAACTACAAATATTGTATTCCTTTTCCCCGTTGAGTTACTAGGAGCTACTCAATGTAACAAGCTTAAAGGTTCCTATTAAAAGTGCTTGCTAGACGGAACTTCATTAGGGAGGACCAACAGAACCCGTGTATATAAGTCATCTTATGTACATGGATGACTTGAAGATATATGCTGGAAATAAGGAAGAACTACAAATATTGTATTCCTTTTCCCCGTTGAGTTACTAGGAGCTACTCAATGTCAGAAGCTTAAAGGTTCCTATTAAAAGTGCTTGCTAGACGGAACTTCATTAGGGAGGACCAACAGAACCCGTGTATTTAAGTCATCTTATGTACATGGATGACTTGAAGATATATGCTGGAAATAAGGAAGAACTACAAATATTGTATTCCTTTTACCCGTTGAGTTACTAGGAGCTACTCAATGTCAGAAGCTTAAAAATTCCTATTATAAGTGCTTGCTAGACGGAACTTCATTAGGGAGGACCAACAGAACCCGTGTATTTAAGTCATCTTATGTACATGGATGACTTGAAGATATATGCTGGAAATAAGGAAGAACTACAAATACTGTATTCCTTTTACCCGTTGAGTTTCTCGGAGCTACTCAATGTCAAAAGCTTGAACGTTCCTATTAAAAGTGAGTTTCTCATAGTACATCCTCCTTTCCCCTGATGCACCAAATTTGCAGGGGGTGCAAGAAGTCCTTTTAGGTAATGCCATTAGAGAATAATGATATTCCAGGTATTCTTTCGATCTGAACAAACTGATTGTGATTACATATATAAGGTTTGTTTATGAGACGTCAAAAAAACAGTTAGGGCCAATGAAATCGTTGTAAAACCAGATGAAAATTGTTTGAAACAAACCTCAAGTGATTTCGATCAGTTTGTTCTGATCGAAAGAATTCCTCTAAAATCTGAATTGTGTGTTTTGGAGTGAGTCCGAGGAGCTCTAGAGCGACACGTTCGGTGTAACTCGATGTATAAAAGGAATACAGTAAAAGTATGCTTGAAA